ATGTAGGTGAATGGACTGATAGTGTTGTCTCGATGCTTTATCGCATGATTAATCGACCAACAATACGTAATGAAAGACGTTAAATTATGTTTTTTTCTCTTCGATTGATCTAATAAATTAAAAGTAGTTTCTTTTTGTTTTCATTTTTAGAATTCAGTTATGGATGATAATAAATTATTAACATTAGTTAATGAAGAACGTATTCATTTACAAGATTATTGTTCATTATTATTTGAAGTTGGTGATTTAAAATATGCATCAGCAGCAACTGTATCACGTTGTGGAATGATTTATGTTGATCCAGAAAATTTAGGTCCATATCCAATATGAAAACGTTGGTTAAATATGAATTTGAATATAACTGATTGCTCAAATAAAAAAAAGATCAATTAGATTTACTTTATGATCGTTATACAACAAATATTTTAAAATTTTATTTATCATAGTTTAACAGACCCTGAACACAGACCAAGAATGAAAACAATTGTTCCATTGTAAGTAGACAAAAAAAGAATGTTATTGTTCTTAGAACTCAAGCGAATATTATTGTACAATTAACAAAATTACTTGATTCATTATTTTTACCATTAATTAATTCTGAGAAAAAAGATCAATTAGAATTATATTCTGATAAAATTCATGTTATATTTCTTCAAGCATTTATTTTGTCATTTGGTGTTTGTCTTAAACAAGAAGATCGTATCGTACTAGATATATTTATCAAATATTTATCAGGTCTTTCAACTGTATCAATAGATTTAAAAGCTAAATCAGGACAATTACCTAATGAAAAACTTCTATTATTCTAAAATATGAAAATGATCGATCAAAACGATTTACTGAATTACTTGTTCCAACTATTAATGCAATTCGTTTAGGTATGATAAAAACAAAAAACGTATGTCTTTATTTGAAATATACGATTAGTATCTCTACTATTCTCGAAAATGATGTAAAGTAATCGAAAATTTTCTTCATTCTTTTTGTCAAGACGAAAGAATGTCTTGTTCATTGAAATTTTTGTTCTTTTTTCCAAGAAAGGCACTTCCACATATAAAAACCTTTGTTCTATTACTGAAATTCTGTTCCCAAAAAACAGAACAAAACTTTTCGGACAGATCAGTTATTATCAGATGAATGATTTGAATAACAAATGATACAATAATGAACCATCTTGTGTATTTGGCAATTTTGAGATGTTCGATCTCAATGAATCTTTTTCCTATTGATACTATACAATAGTCTACTGAAAACTCTAAAAGAATTTGAGTTCCTATTGATACTTGATGGAGCTATTGAATTTTCATTGTCTATGTTTTGGAAAGCTTAGGTTTTCGTAAAATTTTATTTTTGAGTATTGTCTTGAAGCTATCTCCATTTGAAGGTCTCATCCATAGTAGCTTGTAGATTTGGTATCTCCAAGCTATGACCTTGTCGAAAATAAGCGTTCTTCGAAGCGTAGTCAATAATACAATAATAATTATTTTCAAAAGTTCATATCATGGAAAAACGAAGTCTAGAAACTATGCAACCTTTAATACAACCTACTATGTATAATACCTTTCAATAGAGATAATTTCGAAACAAATTAAAAAATACAATATTTAACTCAAATCCTGTTGGGCTGTATATTAGAATATTATATAGTGTCTATAAGAACACAAAATCATTGAAATCGGCATCTGAAGAAATCATCTGTTTAGTTTTGAATTTATTAATATTTCATAGAATATTGATTTAGAATGGTTAATTAAATCTATGATAATCATTCATCAACCTGTTTTATTCGTTGGTCATACTGGATCAAGTAAAACAGCAACTATTCTATCTTATATACGTAATTTTGATTCACAATATACAAATTTAATTTTAAATTTTTCTTTTCGTACAAAATCAATGGATGTATAACATTCAATTGAATCTCAATTAGAAAAAACGTTCAAAAGATACTTATGGACCAAAAGCTGGTACTAAATTAATCATATTTCTTGCTGATATTTCTATGCCAACTTAAATTACTTATTGAAAAGCATAGGACGTATGAACGAACTGGAGAACTTAATTGGAAATTTGTTACAGATAGTGGTTGGATTGCTGCAATGAGCACTCCTGNATACAAAAAATGTTTTAAATTTTATTTATCATGGTTTAACAGAAACTGGACAAAGACAAAGAAGGAAAAGGAGTGTTCCATTGTAAGTAGATAGAAACAAAAACAACACAAACACACTAATAAAAAAAGAATGTTATTGTTCTTAGAAGTCAAGTGAATATTATTGTACAATTAACAAAATTGCTTGATTCATTATTTTTACCATTAATTAATCATGAAAAAAAAGATCAATTAGAATTAAATTCTGATAAAATTCATGCTATATTTCTTCAAGCATTTATGTGGTCATTTGGTGCTTGTCTTAAACAAGAAGATCGTATCATATTAGATACATTTATTAAATATTTATCAGGTCTTTCAACTGTATCAATAGATTCAAAAGCTAAATCAGGACAATTACCTAATGAAAAATTTCTATTATTTGATTATATATTTCAACCAGAATTAGATCAATGGATTAAATGGAATGATCTTATTCCAAAATATGAACATGATCGATCAAAACGATTTACTGAATTACTTGTTCCAACTATTGATACAATTCGTTTAGGTATGATAAAAACAAAAAACATATCTGTTCATTTAAAATATACGATCAGTATCTCTCCTCTTCTCGAAAATGATGTAAAATATTCGAAAATTTTCTTTATTCTTTTCGTCAAAACTAAAGAATGTCTTGTTCATTGAAATTTTTGTTCTTTTTTTTTTCAAGAAAAGCACTTTCACATATAAAAATCTTTGTTCTGTTACTGAAATTCTAATTCCAAAAAACAGAACAAAACTTTTCGGACAAATTAGATGAATGATTTAAATAGCAAATAACACAATAATGAACCTTCTTGTGTATTTGACAATTTTGAGATGTTCGATCTCAATGAATTTTTTGCCTATTGATACTATAGAGTATTCTAGTAAAAACTCTAAAAGAATTTGAGTTCCTATTGAGACTTGATGGAGCTACTGAATTTTCAATGTCTATTTTTTGAAAACCTCAGGTTTTTGTAAAATTGTATTTTTCAGTATTGTCTTGAAGCTATCTTCATTTGAAGGTCTCATCTATAGTAGTTTGTAGATTTTATATCTTTAACCTATGAGCTTTTCGAACATAAGCGTTCTTCGAAGCGTAGTGAATCATACAAGAATAATTATTTCGAAAAGTTCATATCATGAAAAAACGAAGTTCAGAAACTATGCAACCTTTTATACAAGCTACTATTTATTATTCCTTCAAATGGAGATAATTTTGAAACAAAATTGAAAAAATACTATTTAACTTAAACTCTGTTAGGCTGTTCATTAAGATACTATATAGTGTCTATAAGCAAAAAAAAACTCATTGAAATCGGTATCAGAAGAAACTATCTGTTTAGTTTTGAATTTATTAATATTTCGTAGAATATTGATTTAGAATGGTTAATTAAATCTATGATAACCATTCATCAACCTGTCTTATTCGTTGGTGATACTGGATCGAGTAAAACAGCAACTATTCTATCTTATATACGTAATTTTGATTCACAATATACAAATTTAATTTTAAATTTTTCTTCTCGTACAAAATCAATTGATGTACAACGTTCAATTGAATCTCAATTAGAAAAACGTTCAAAAGATACTTATGGACCAACAGCTGGTACTAAATTAATCATATTTCTCGATGATATTTCTATGCCAAAAATTGATCAATATGGAACACAACAATCAATTGCTTTACTTAAATTGCTTATTGAAAAACATGGAATGTATGAACGAACTGGAGAACTTAATTGGAAATTTATTACAGATATTGATTGGATTGCTGCCATGAGCACTCCTGGTAACGAATTACTATGAGAGAACTATGCAAGCTGACATTTATCGTTTAAATTTATATTGAGTCTACAAAGCCGTCTTAGTGAAACTAGAATAAGCCTAACACGGTTCATTCTCATGAATCTTTCGAGTTAAATTAGGATCGTTTTACAGAATTTCTAATCCAGCTTTAGATATATATTGAACTTGAACGACTTATTGAATATCTTGAAAGTTTCACTCAAAAAAGAATGTTCTTGTTTCGAGATATCGAATTTACGTAAAAAATTTAATATCCCGACCCAAAAAAAAAACATTCTATTTTGCTAAAACTCCTATGATATTCTACGGGTGAAATTTTATGTAGAAATGCTGTTTTTTTAATTTTTGTTATGTGGCTGTTTAGATCTTACCTTAAAAAATTAAACGTATTACAAAAATCGAGAAAATTCGATTTTCAGTCGATTTTGTGAGAAATTTTGTTTTTTGTGATACTTGAAACTCTTTAAAGACAGATCGTCGAAAATTCCACGATCACTCATTTCGTTTAAAATTTTGTTTTCTCTAAAAATAGTATTGTTAGAAAATATTCTTCTGATCCTTGAAAGATCACATGTCTAGTTCTTTTTAAAAAACCTTGGTGTTGAATGTATTAGATAGAAAACTTCATTGACTATATTAAAATTACGATCTAGATTCGAGCTAAGTGCTTCTCATTATAGAAAAAAAAATGAAAATACGTTGTTGTAAAGCTTTTTCTTGCCATCTTAGTCTCAAATGATGGGTATCAGTTCAGATGGTTCTCCCATTAGAATAAGAAAATTGTTAAACCTAATGATTTGTTTCTATATTGTAGGTGGAAGTAATAATAATATTGATCCACGTTTTATAAGTCATTTTAGTATTTTCTATATATCATCTCCATCACGTGAATCACTATTTCGTATATTTTCAACAATATTACAAAATCATGTAATAACATTTTCAATAGAAATTCAAGAAATAATTCCAAATATAATAAAATATACATTACAAATCTATGAAGATATTCTTCGATTATTTGTTCCAACACCAACAAAATTTTATTATATATTTTCATTACGTGATCTTAGTCGAATAATACAAAGTCTTTTACAAACAACACCTGAAAGATTTAATACTATTGAAAGATTTTTACGTGTTTGGTTACATGAATGCATTCGAATATTTTCTGATCGTTTTAATGATATTAAAGATAATGAATTATTTAATAAAATTTTACAAAATATTATTGATAATAATTCTTTATTAAAATCTCATCGAAGTTATTTATTTCGAAAACCAATTTTATTTTCTGATTATCGTACAATATTACAAAATGATGAACCAAAAATTTATGAAGATTTACAAGATTATCATGCTATAAAATCAATATTTGATGAAATTATTTTAGAATATAAATATAAATATGGATATATTGATATTGTTTTATTTAATGATGCACTTGAACATTTAACACGTATATATCGTGTTTTACGTTTAGATCGTGGACATTTATTACTAATTGGTACAGGTGGTTCAGGGAAAAAATTACTTGCTAAAATTGCTGGATTTACTGCTAAATGTCAAATATTTGAAATACAATTAACAAGAAATTATAATGAAATATCATTTCNTAATCAACGTTCAGCAATGAAAACTTATGTTAAAAAATTAAATTCTCAAATAGAAGAAATTGTTATAGAAATGCGAAAATTTTTAAAACCAAGTAAAAAAATGTTTCATTAGAATCAAATATTTCCTTCATCAATTCTTTCTTTACATAAGATGAATATAATAAATTTGAAACCGTTCTTACAATCGATGTACATACTCGTGATACAGCAGATATTTTAATTCGTGATGGTATTAATGAACCTCATGATTTGTAAGTATTATCGAATATATATTATAAAAATTCTAACTTGAATTTAGTTCATGGCAATGTCAATTACGTTTTTATTGGTTATCAAAAGAAGATAGTTTATTTTTACAACAATGTAATGGAGAATTTGATTATGGTTTAAAATGATAGTTCTCAATAGAAACTTTTAATGTTCTTTTGTTTTTTCTGTAAAATAGGTTATGAATATATGGGTCTTAATGGTCGTCTTGTTATTACACCATTAACTGATCGAATTTATCTAACAGTTACACAAGTAAATAGAATTTTTTCTATTGTGTAACAAACTTCAACAGTTCAAATTATAGGCTTTGTCAATGTTTCTTGATTGTGCACCAGGTTTGATTGATATATAACATAGAATATTGAAATAATATTTTTTACTTTTTTTATAGCCGGACCAGCAGGTACTGGAAAAACAGAATCAATTAAAGATCTTGCTAAAGCTATGGGTCTTCTTTGTGTTGTTACTAATTGTGTTGAAGGTAACATTTTCTTTAGTATTCATTGGTTTAGCTTTCATCACTAATAATTTCTCCTAACTTCTAGGCATGGATTATCAATCAATAGGTAAAAATTTAAATCGTTTATGTCAAACAGATGATTGGGGTTGTTTTGATGAGTAAATTATTTAAATGTTGTTTTTTCTTTAATATTCTAATTAATAATTATTTAATTAAAAAAAATAGATTCAATCGTATTGAAGCATCTGTTCTCAGTGTAGTTTCTACTCAAGTAAAAAGTATTCAACAAGCATTATCATTACATGTTGAACAATTTTTTTTTTGAACACAATGAAATTCAACTTCTATCAACTGTTGGTATATTTGTAACAATGAATCCAGGTTATGCTGGTCGAACAGAATTAGCTGAATCAGTTAAAACTTTATTTCGACCTGTTGTTGTTGTGTAGATAGCTTTTCATCAAATTTTTATTTTATTTTATTTTGTGAAACTCACATGTAATTCTAAAGAAAATAGTGTGTGAATTTGAATTGAGGCTGCATCCTAGGCTCTAACAACGGGGGACGATATTTGGATATACGTTTCCATAGCAGTCAATGACAACAAACTTATCAACATAAAAAGCGTGAACTGATCAAATTGTCACTTTGGGAAATAATCAATAGGAGTATGTCTGAATTCATTGAGATATATAATAGTATGTTGAGACCTGTTATTGATATAAAATATTTTGAAATTCAGAAATAAATCAGACAGACAGTTTTTCTAACCATCGATTATCCTTGAAAAACAACTATAATCTACTACAGATCTTTTGTCTGACGTACTTTCTATTAGTATGGCGAGACTAGTGAATACATATGGATTCCATATTTTAGCCCAAAACGATCTGTGCTGATAAGATTTTTTTTCATATAAATAAATTTACTTTCAGTGTTCTTGATATGCAATATATTGGAGAAATAAAATTATTTGCTAATGGATTTATACACGGAAAAATTTTAGCTAAAAAATGTTAACATTATATGGTTATGCATCAGAATTACTTACTTAGTAAACAAGTATATTAAATTAAAAGAAAAAGTTTTTGTTTTTTCTTTTGATATTTTAGTATCATTATGATTGGGATTTAAGAAGTTTTAAATCTGTTTTATCAATGACAGGTTATTTAAAACGAACATCAATGAAAGAAGATCCTGAAGAAATTGTTTTTTTTAAGAGCATTACGTGATATGAATATACCAAAATTTATTTATGATGACGTTAATTTATTTCCTACATTATTAAATGATTTATTTCCAAATATTCATTGTCCAGAAGCATCATATAAAAATTTAAATCGAATTATTAAAGAAATATTAATCAAACAACAATATATTTTAGTTTCAGAACAATTGGTCCAATAAGGTAAAAGAATTTGTTATCATTATTAAAAGAAAAAACAAAAAAGAAAAGATTTTATTTTATTTTAGTGGAGGAAAGACTGGTGTTAAACACTTTGGTGGAAGCACAAACTCAAATGGGAATGAAAACAAATTTGTATACATTAAATCCAAAAGCATTAAGTGTTATTGAATTATATGGTACACTTGATTCATTGACACTTATGTATAGATATATACATATACGTTAGCGTTCAATTTCAGATCTCACTTTGAACGAAGATTAATCCCGGTCAATTTCGAACTAACGACTAAGTATATTACATTCCATATGAAGGTGTTGGTTGAATCCAAAGAATGTAGTAAATAAAAACTGAATTAGAAAAATGTGAATGATGTTGAATCATCGTTTCTGCTAAAATAAAGTTCGAAAAAGTAAAAAAAATTAATTTATATTTCAATTGTGGGTGTAAAAGAGAAGACGAAGAGAACAAGTACATCCACACCGGCACTCTTCGTTGATACTTTTTTGCGTTATTTGCTTGTCATTATACATTGTATTTTGTTGAAAATAAAATTTCATGTGCCATGGTTACCTTCTCAATCTGAGAATGATCTAAATTAATGTTCGTCTAATGTGAGAGCCTAGATTGGATATGAATGATTAATCAACCAACAACATGTAATGAAAGACGTTATATTGTATTTGATGGTGATGTTGATGCACTTTGGATTGAAAATATGGAATGTTTTTTTTTCTTCGATTGATTTAATAAATTAAATTTAGTTTCTCTTTGTTTTTATTTTTAGAATTCAGTTATGAATGATAATAAATTATTAACATTAGCTAATGAAGAACATATTCGTTTACAAGATTATTGTTCATTATTATTTGAAGTTGGTGATTTAAAATATACATCACCAGCAACTATATCACGTTGTGGAATGGTTTATGTTGATCCAGAAAATTTAAGTTCATATCCAGCATGGAAACGTTGGTTAAATATGAATTTAACTGATTGATCAAATGAAAAAGATCAATTAGATTTACTTTATAATCGTTATACAAAAAATATTTTAAATTTTATTTATCATGATTTAACTACCTAATGAAAAACTTCTATTATTTGATTATATAGTTCAACCAGAATTAGATCAATGGATTAAATGGAATGATCTTATTCCAAAATATGAACATGATTGATCAAAACGATTTACTGAATTACTTGTTCCAACTATTGATACAAGTCGTTTAGGTATGATAAAAACAAAAAACATTTGTTCATTTAAAATATACGATTAGTATCTCTATTATTTTCGAAAATGATGTAAACTATTCGAAAATTTTCTTCATTCTTTTCGATATTTGCGATACATTGCAAGGATAGAGTCTAGAAACTATGCAACCTTTTATACAAGCTACTATGTATCATACCTTCAAATGGAGATAATCTCAAAACACAATAAAAAAAGACACGATATTTAACTGAAATCCTGTTAGGATGTTCATTAGAATACTATATAGTGTTTATAAGCAAAAAAAAAGAATCATTGAAATCGGCATCTGAAGAAATCATCTATTTAGTTTTGAATTTATTAATATTTCATAGAAGATTTATTTAGAATGTTTAATTAAATCTATGATAACCATTCATGAACCTGTTTCATTCGTTTGTGATATTGAATCAAGTAAAACAGCAACTATTCTATCTTATATACGTAATTTTTATTCACAATATACAAATTTAATTTAAAATTTTTCTTCTCGTACTAAACTAATTGATGTACAACGTTCAAAAAATACTTATGGATCAACAGCTGGTACTAAAGTAATCATATTTCTATGCCAAAAATCGATCAATTTGGAACACAACAATCAATTGCTTTACTTGAATTACTTATTGAAAAACATGGAATGTATGAACGAACTGGAGAACTTAATTGGAAATTCGTTACAGATATTGATTGGATTGCTGCAATGAGTACTCCTGGTGACGAATTCCTATGAGAGAACTACGCGAACCGATATTCATCGTCTAAATTGATATAGTCTACAAAGACATCTTAGTAAAACTAGAATAAGCCTAACATGGTTCATCGTCATGAACCTTTGGAGTTAGGTTACAATAGTTTTACAGAATTTCCGATCCAGCTTTAGATATATATTGAATTCGAACGTAAAATTTCGCCAATAGATAAGTCGAACGACCTTTTGAATATCTTGAAAGTTTCACCCAAAAAAGAATGTTCTTTTTTCGAGATATCGAATTTACTTGAGAAATTCTGTTTTTTTGTGATGTGGCTGTTTAAACCTTCTCTTAAAAAGTTAAAATTATTACGAAAATCGAGAAAATGCGTTTTTCAGTCGATTTTTTGAGAAATTTTGTTTTTTGTGATACCCTTTAACTCTTTAAAAGAAGATCGTAGAAATTTCGATGAACACTCATTTCGTTTAGAATTTTGTTTTCTTTAAAATGGTATTGTTAACAAAATCGTTCTCTGGTACTTCAGAACTCCTATGTCTAGTTCTTTTAAAAACCTTGGTGTTGAATGTATTCGATAGAAAACTTCATTGACTATATTAAAATCACTATCTAGATTCGAGCTAATTGCTTCTCATTATAGGAAAAAAAAATTCGTTGTTGTACAACTTTTTTCTGCCATCTTAGACTCAAACGACGGGTATCAGTTCGAATGGTTCTCTCATTAGAATAAGAAAATTGTTAAACGTACTGATTCGTTTCTATGTTGTACGTGGAAGTAATAATAATATTCATCCACGTTTTATAAGTCATTTTAGTATTTTCTATATATCATCTCCATCACACGAATCACTATTTCGAATATTTTCAACAATATTACAAAACCATGTAATAACATTTCCAATAGACATTCAAGAAATAATTCCAAATATAATAAAATATACATTACAAATTTATGAAGATATTCTTTGATTATTTGTTCCAACACCAACAAAATTTTATTATATATTTTCATTACATGATATTAGTCGAATAATACAAAGTCTTTTACAAACAATACCTGAAAGATTTTTACGTGTTTGGTTACATGAATGTATTCGAATATTTTTTGATCATTTTAATGATATAAAAGATAATGAATTATTTAATAAAATTTTACAAAATATTATTGATAATAAGTCTTTATTAAAATCTCATCGAAATTATTTATTTCGAAAACCAATTTTATTTTCTGATTATCGCACAATATTACAAAATGATGAACCAAAAATTTATGAAGCTTTACAAGATTATCATGCTATAAAATCAATATTTGATGAAATTATTTTAGAATATAAAGATAAATATGGATATATTGATATTGTTTTATTTAATGATGCACTTGAACATTTATTATTAATTGGTACAGATGGATCAGAAAAAAAAATTACTTGCTAAAATTGTTGGATTTACTGCTAAATGTCAAATATTTTAGTTTACAAAATATTAAAACAGCTTTTATTTTAAATGATGCACAAATTGTTGAAGAAACTTTTCTTGAATATATAAATAATATTCTATCGATGTACATTTCATTTACATATTAATTTATGTATGAATCCAACTGGAAATTTTTTACGAAATCAATACGTCTTATATGAATACGTTTTGACTATTAACAAAGTTTGGTTGTCATAAGACCTGTTTCATTCGGATTTTTTGTTTCAACAATTTTTATCAAATCGAAACTGATATTAATTTGTAATAATGCAAATCATGTCAATCTCTATTCTATTATGAATATGTAATCGGTTTGTGTCAGAGGTGTTCGGTTCCTAGAACTGATATCCTGACTAAGCAAATGCTTAAAACCATGCAGTCCAGCTACGCTGTTAATAATTCTTTTTTTCTTCGCTTCGCCGAGAACTACAAAGTAAAAGATTGATTGATCTCGAACTATATCGTTTTTTGTGCTCCTGTGTCTATTTTTGGCAATATGTAGCTAAATAAGTCATATGATAAAAATAGACAAACATCATATTAAGACGTGACGAGACAACGAAGAAAAATGTTTAAGGTTGTATCGAGGCATGAAACACAATATTCTTTCCATTCCGCTCTCTAATCTTCACCGTGACCTCAATCTACCCTCAAAAATCTTTACAGATCTCTACTCTTACATTATCCAAGGAATTTTTATATCTCACTCTTCCTTAATAATACCTTAATTTGAAGGTTAAAAAAATGATAAATAACACAATAGTATCATGATGGAAATAGACAGGGTAAAATGTTTTCATTTCGTGTACTCTGACTGAGAAAAATTTTCTAAGACCGGGTAAAAAACCTTTGTTCTGTTTATGGGAATTGTACTTTCATGTATGAGAGCTTTGTTTTGGTACCGAAATACCGTCTCTAAAACAGAACAAAACTTTTCGGACAGCTCAGTTCTAGTATCTGAACTGTTGAAATAGATCTTGTGGGATGATCTGATCGGATTGATTGAACTAAAAGATTTTTAGTAAAATTTTCGACCACAAACATATTTAGTATAACAATAGTTGAAGAAAGTGCTGGCATTCTTGTACTTCAATAGTGTAAAACATCCTGCATAAAGCTTGTCTTAGACAATTATTAAACATGAAGTCTTTACTATTTCTACCTCTATTGATATAATTAGATAGACTCAGTCTAAGTACATAGTGAATTGTACATTTACTCAAATGATGAATGGTAAGAATTTTCTATTATAATGTTACTTTATAGAGCTCGAAACTTTCCAGCATTAATCAATAATACAACTATTGATTATTTTGCTCGATGGCCACAACAAGTTTTGTAAGTTTATTTAGTTTAATAGATTTCATGTTGAATATAAAATTTGTTTGAAGGTATGCAGTTGCTGAACATTTTCTATCACGTTTTAAATTAATTTCTGATGAATATAAAAATAATATAATTGAACATATGGCTATGATACATGAATCTGCTAATTTCTATTGTGATATTTACATGCAAAAAAATGCAACGAAAAGCTTATGCGACACCAAAAAATTATTTAGATTTTATTCATACATTTATTCATCTTTATAAACAAAAAAAAAGAAGATTTATCTAAACAAGCTGAACGATTAAATGCTGGAATTATTCGTATTGATGAAGCTAGTGTACTTATACAAGAAATGGATAAAAAATTAGAAATACAACGTAAAGAACTTGGTTAGTATAAAATAGAGATGGAATTAGTATTCACTACCGATCTATCTTATTTATTTTCCTTTTTTTATGATTAAATCCCTCATTCCAGTAGAAGATTTTCTTTCATTTATTAATTTCTCGAAAATTCGGAACTTTATATATCAGAATATGCCTATTATTCAGACTTTTATTTTGAAAAATCTGAAAACACTGAAGTCAAAATATTGAAACCCTAAAAACCATTTACAAAATCCTTGAAGTTGTTTTTTTAAACCTTTTTTTATTAAAAACTATGAAAATAAATGAGACACAACAAAAGACCTCGTTAAAAACTTTATATGCTTGGACATAATAACAGACTCGGTATTTTCCCTATTGTGGGAAGGGGTTTACCTCAAGTTATTCTATCCAGAGATGGGATCGGCACTGACAACCAATTGTTTTAGAGTCAGTATGGATTTCAGACCAGTACCGTTCTCATGTATAGAGTTTTATTTTCTTAAAACATCATATGTAACGGGTGCGGCAGAATAAATGGCGGTCTCAGTATTTTGATTATAACTTTTTTTCTTTTTGATCTTTTATAACTGGTTGTTTTGCCAAAAGATGCGTCGTGAAATTCTCTACAAAACCATAACTAAACGTATTTCTGTAGAAAGTTAAGAGAAAAAAAAGAAATGAATATTATTCAAAGCATAAAAGGTGCTAAACTTTCAAAGAGAACGGATGTTCTACGAATGACTAGTGTTCGTATCTCTTTTCTTATCCTCCTCTAGTAGACATATTTTAAAAGCAAAGTATACTAAAAGATGCAGCGTGAAAATCTCTACAAGTTACATTAAAAACCTTATATTATATGTGTACTTTTTTTTTCAAAATGATCAAAATTCTGTGCGACCAGTTTTCGGCTCTGTGAACAATATCATTTTTTGGTATACTACGAATTCGTTTTTCTTATTTCATCTCTGTATCGCCTAATATATTCTATTAAAAGAAAACGAAATATACCACAAGATGCAGCGTGAAAAGCTCTACAATTTACAAAGAACAAGTCATTTTATATACATGCATCTTTGNCGGGATCGAGACTAAAAAGCTTGGTCTCACACATCTCTGATGTAGATTATTCTATTTCGAAAACCAACTATATTTTCTGATTATCGTACAATATTACAAAATGATGAACCAAAAATTTATGAAGATTTACAAGATTATCATGCTATAAAATCAATATTTGATGAAATTATTTTAGAATATAAAGATAAATATGAATATATTGATATTGTTTTCTTTAATGATGCACTTGGACATTTAACACGTATTTATCGTGTTTTACGTTTAGATCGTGGATATTTATTATTAATTGGTACAGATGAATCAGGAAAAACAATTACTTACTAAAATTGCTGGATTTACTGCTAAATGTTAAATATTTTAGTTGACAAAATATTAAAACAGTTTTTATTTTAAATGATGCACAAATTGTTGAAGAAACTTTTCTTGAATATATAAATAATATTCTATTGATGTACATTAAATTTACGTATTATATTATGTATGGAGCCAACTGGAAACTTTTTCCGAAATCAGTATGTCTTATATGAATACATTTTGAATATTAATAAAGTTTAGTTGTCATAAGATCTGTTTCATTCGAGTTTTTTGTTTCAAAAATTTTTACCAAATCGAAACTGATATTAATTTGTAATAATGCAAATCATGTCAACTCTGTTCTATCATGAATATGTAATCGGTTTCTGTCAGAGGTGTTCAGTTCCTAGAACTTATATCCTGACTAAGCATATACTTAAAATCATGCAGTCCAGCTACGTTGTTAATAATATTTTTTTTCCTTCGTTTCGTCGAGAACTACAAAGTAAACGATTGATTGATCCCGAACTATATCGTTTTTTGTGCTCCTGTGTCTATTTTTGGCAATATGTAGCTAAATAAGTCACATGATAAAAATAGAAAAACATCATATTAAGACATGACGAGGCAGCGAAGAAAAATGCTTAAGGTCGTAGCGAGGGTGAAACAAAATATTTTTTCCATTTCGGTCTCTGATTTTCACCCTTACCTGACTCTACCCTTCAAAATCTCTATAGTTCTCTACTCTTACATTATCCTAAGAAGTTTTATCTCACTGTTCCTTAATATTACCTTAGTTGGAAGGTTCTAAAAATGATATATAACACAATAGTATGATGATGGAAATACACAGGGTAAAGTGTTTTCATTCCGTGTACTCTGACTGAGAAAAATTTCCTAAGATCCTATAGAGTACCCCTGCAGTTCCTACTTCCGGGTAAAAAACCTTTGTTCTATTTATGGGAATTGTACTTTCATATATGAGAGTTTTGTTTTGGTACTGAAATACCGTCTCTAAAACAGAACAAAACTTTTCGGACAGCTCAGTTCTAGTAACTGAACTATTGAAATAGATCTTGTGTAATGATTTGATCTAACAGTTTTTTAGTAAGATTTTCAACCGCAAACATATTTATTATAACAATAGTTGAAGAAATTGCTGGCGTTCTTGTACTTCAATAGTGTATAGCATCCTGCATAAAGCTTGTCTTAGACAACTATTAAACATGAAGTCTCTACTATTTCTACCTCAATTGATATAATTAGATTGACTCAGTCTAAGTACATAATGAATTGTACATGTACTAAAATGATGAATGATAAGAATTTTCTATTGTAATGTTACTTTATAGAGCCTGAAACTCTCCAGCATTAATCAATAATACAACTATTGATTATTTGGCTCGATGGTCACAAGAAGCTTTTGTAACTTTTTTTAGTTTAATAGATTTCATGTTAGATATAAAATTTGTTTGAAGATATGCAGTTGCTGAACATTTTCTATCACGTTTTAAATTAATTTCTGATGAATATAAAAATAATATAATTGAACATATGGTTATGGTACATGAATCTCTAATTTCTATTGTGATATTTATATGCCAAAAAAATGAGACGAAAAGCTGAACGATTAAATGTTGGAATTATTCGTATTGATGAAGCTAGTATACTTATACAAGAAATTGATAAAAAATTAGAAATACAACGTAAAGAACTTGGTTAGTATAAAATAGAGATGAAATTAGTATTGACTACCGATCTATCTTATTTATTTTCCTTCTTTTATGATTAAATCCCTCACTCCAGTAGAAGATTTTCTTTCATTTATTAATTTCTCGAAAATTCGGAACTTTATATATCAGAATATGTCTATTATTCAGGTTTTTGTTCTGAAAAATCTTAAAACACTGTAGTCAAAATATTTTTGAAATCCGAAAAACCTCTTGCAAAATTCTTGAAGTTATTTTTTTAAAATACATTTGACTAAAAACTATGAAAATAAATGAGACACAACAAAATCCCTCTTTAAAAACTTTGTACGCTTGGACGTAATAAAAGAATCGGGATCTTTTTCATTGTGGGAAGGGATTTACTTCCAATAATTCTATCCAGAGATGGGATTGGCACTGGCAACTAATTGTTTCAGAGATGATATGAATATCAGACCGATGCCGTTCTTATGTATAGAGTATTCCAGAGATTAGTCATATTCAATTGTTTGATAACAAAAGTCATTTTATTTTCTTGAAATATCGTATGTATTTTTTTCCATTTTAGCAATCAAAACAAAAAAATGCGATGATTTATTAACAGAAATTACTAATTTAACAGCTAAACAAACAGAACGTAAAAGTCAAGTGAGTATTAAAGGATATCCGTTAAAGAAAACTTTTTCGACCATCCAAACTTGAAGTGTAAGCTTTTAGTTCATTTCACACCTTCATTCGATTTTGTAGTCTTTTTATGTTTTAGTGTTATATTCGTTTCTTATACTTATTGATGCATAATGGTCATATCCATCGCTGCCAAAAGTCAACAGAATCAGAATTTTTTGAAAACCAACGTTATTTTCTTGAGTATGAGAGTTCAGAAAAACCTATGTAACGTCTTTATATCTCATGATAAAGTTAATAAACTATAATGCATTCGAGAATCGACAGATTATTTCTTTATAAATGTTTCGATTAAGATTTTTTTTTTGTTTTTATTTTAGGCATTAGAAAAAAGGAATTAGTTGATGAACAATTAATAACAATTGAAAAAGAAAAACATGATACTGAATCACAATTAGAAGAAGCTATGTCAGCATTAATTGAAGCTCAACAAAGTCTTGATACACTTAAAGCAGCTGATATAACTGAAATGCGTAGTTTTGATAATCCATTTGATACACTAGGATTAATTGATTATTGTATGCTTATTTACTTAGATCATCCATCAATTAGTTGGAAAGATGTAAGCTTTCTTTTTTTTATCATGATCAATTTTCTTTATATTTAAATAGGTTCGAGCTGTTATGGCTGATATGAAATTTATAACAAATTTAAAAACTCGTGATCCTGATTTATTCACATCAAAACAAGCTGTACAATTAAAAATTTATTTAAAAAAAAATAGAAGAAAAACTGGATCCAAATCATATGCATTCACTATCAGAAAAATCTGAACGTAATATAAAACTTGTTATATTAATGACAAATNTCAATAGTATTAAATCTTTCAGGTGTTCAGGGAAAAAATTACTTGCTAAAATTGCTGGATTTACTGCTAAATGTCAAATATTTGAAATACAATTAACAAGAAATTATAATGAAATATCATTTCGTGAAGATTTAAAAATTCTATTTTATCAAATTGGTTTAAAAAATATGAAAACAGTTTTTATTTTAAATGATGCACAAATTGTTGAAGAAAATTTTCTTGAATATATAAATAATATTTTATCGAATGGAATAGTACCCGGATTATTTACTGATGAAGTAAAAAACACAGAAGAATATTCGAGAAAGAAATTTATCCATTTAAATTCTTTTTTTTATTTAGGAAAGAGATGGAATTATTAATGAAATACGTGAAGAAGCAATAAAATATATTAAAATTTTATCAAATGAAAATATTTGGCATTATTTTATTCGAAAATGTACATTAAATTTACATATTATTTTATGTATGAATCCAACTGGAAATCTTTTAAGAAATCGGTATGTCTTCTATGAATACATTTTGAATATTAATAAAGTTTAGTTGTCATAAGATCTGTTTCATTCGAATTTTTTGTTTCAACAATTTTTACAAGATCGAAACTGATATTAATCTGTAATAATACGAATCATGTTAATCTCTGTTCTATCATGAATATATAATTAGTTTGTATCAGAGGTGTTCAGTTCCTAGAACTTATATCCTGACTAAGCATATACTTAAAACCATGCAGTTCAGCTACGCTGTTAATATTTTTTTTTCTTCGTTTCGTCGAGAACTACAAAGTAAAAGATTGATTGATCTCGAACTATATCGTTTTTTGTGCTCCTGCGTCTATTTTTTGGCACTATGTAGTTAAATAAATCATGTGATAAAAATAGACAATCATCATATTAATACGTGATGAGACAACGAAGAAAAATGTTTAAGGTTGTAGCGAGGCATGAAACACAATATTCTTTCCATTTCGCTTTCTAATCTTCACCATGACCTCAATCTACCCTCCAAAATCTCTACAGTTCTCTACTCTTACATTATCCAAGAAATTTTTTTACTTACTCTTCCTTAATATTACCTTAATTTGAAGATTCTAAAAATGATAAATAACACAATAATATCATGGTGGAAATATGCAGGATAAGGTGTTTTCATTCCGTGTACCCTAACTGAAAACAATTTCCTAAGATCCTATAGAGTAGCGCTGCAGTTCCTACTTCCGGGTAAAAAGTCTTTGTTCTATTTATGGAAATTGTACTTTCATGTATGAAAGCTTTGTTTTGCTACTGAAATACCTTCTCTAAAACAGAACAAAACTTTCGGACAGCTCAGTTCTAGTAACTGAACTGTTGAAATAGATCTTGTGAGACGATTTGATCTGACTGATTGATCTAAAAGATTTTTAGTAAGATTTTCAATCACAAACATATTTAGTATAACAATATTTGAAGAAAGTGTTGGCGTTCTGGTACTTTAATAGTGTGTAGCATCCTGTCTAAAGTTGACTCAAATGATGAATCGTAATAATTTTCTATTATAATGTTACTTTATAGAGCTCGAAACTTTCCAGCATTAATCAATAATACAACTATTGATTATTTTGCTCGATGGCCACAACAAGCTTTGTAAGTATTTTTAGTTCAATAGATTTCAGTTTGAATATAAAATTTGTTTGAAGATATGCAGTTGCTGAACATTTTCTATCACGTTTTAAATTAATTTCTGATGAATATAAAAATAATATAATTGAACATATGGCTATGGTACATGAATCTGTTAATTTCTATTGTGATATTTATATGGAAAAAATGCGACGAAAAGCTTATGCAACACCAACAAATTATTTAGATTTTATTCATACATTCATTCATCTTTATAAACAAAAAAAAGAAGATTTATCTAAACAAGCTGAACGATTAAATGTTGGAATTATTCGTATTGATGAAGCTAGTATACTTATACAAGAAATGGATAAAAAATTAGAAATACAACGTAAAGAACTTGGTTAGTATAAAACAGAGATGAAATTAGTATTGATTACCGATCTATCTTATTTATTTTCCTTCTTTTATGATTAAATCCCTCACCCAAGTAGAAGATTTCCTTTCATTTATTAATTTGTCGAAAATTCTAAACTTTATGTATGAACATATACCTATTATTCAGGTTTTTGTTCTGAAAAATCTTAAAACAGTGAAGTCAAAAGATTGAAACCCTAAAAATCTATTGCAAAATCCATAAAGCTATTTTTTTTAAAATTTATTTAATTAAAAACTATGAAAATAAATAAGACGCAACAAAAGACCTTCTTGAAAACTTTGTTTGCTTGGACATAATAAAACAATCGGGATCTTCTCTAGTGTGGGAAGGGATTTACTTCAAGTAATTCTATTCAGAGATAGAATGGATACTGACAACCAATTGTTTCAGAGTTGGTATGGATTTCAGACCACTACCGTTCTCATATATAGTTTTATTTTCTTAAAACATCATGTGTATTTTTCTATTTTAGCAATCAAAACAAAAAAATGTGATGATTTATTAACAGAAATTACTACTTTAACAGCTAAACAAACAGAACGTAAAAGTCGAGTGAGTATTAAAGGATATCCGTCAAAGAGAAAATTTTCAACCATCCAAACTTGAAGTGTGAGCTTTTAGTTCATTTCACATCTTCATTCGATTTTGTGGTCTTTTTATGTTCCAGTATTATATTCATTTATTATACTTATCAATGCATTATAGTCTTGTCCATCGCTGCCAAAACTCAACAGAGAAATTTGAGAGACTCTAAAAATCAAATTTTTTTAGAAAACAGCGTTATTTTCTTAAGTATGAGGATTCAGAAAAATCTATATAATGTTCTTAAATCTCATGATAAAGTTAATAAACTATAATGTATTCGAGAGTCGACAGATTATTTCTTTATAAATGTTTCGATAAAGATTTTTTGTTGTTGTTATTTTAGGCATTAGATAAAAAGCAATTAGTTGATGAACAATTAATAACAATTGAAAAAGAAAAACATGATGCTGAATCACAATTAGAAGAAGCTATGCCAGCATTAATTGAAGCTCAACAAGGTCTTGATACACTTAAAGCAGCTGATATAACTGAAATGCGTAGTTTTGCTAATCCAGTTGATACACTCCGATTAATTGGTTATTGTATGCTTATTTACTTAGGTCATCCATCAATTAGTTGGAAAGATGTAAAGTTTCTTTTTTTGTTTAATTATTATCAATTTTCTTTATATTTAAATAGGTTCGAGCTGTTATGGCTGATATGAAATTTATAACAAATTTAAAAACTCGTGATCCTGATTTATTCACATCAAAACAAGCTGTACAATTAAAAATTTATTTAAAAAAATTAGAAGAAAAACTTGATCCAAATCATATATATTCATTATTAGAAAAATCTGAACGTAATATAAAACTTGTTGTATTAATGACAAATGNTTACTCAAATGATGAATAGTAATAATTTTCTATTATAATGTTACTTTATAGAGCTCGAAACTTTCCAGCATTAATCAATAATACAACTATTGATTATTTTGCTCGATGGCCACAACAAGCTTTGTAAGTTTTTTTTTAGTTTAATAGATTTCATCTTGAATATAAAATTTGTTTGAAGATATGCAGTTGCTGAACATTTTCTATCACGTTTAAAATTAATTTCTGATGAATATAAAAATAATATAATTGAACATATGGCTATGGTACATGAATCTGCTAATTTCTATTGTGATATTTATATGGAAAAAATGCGACGAAAAGCTTATGCAACACCAAAAAATGATTTAGATTTTATTCATATATTTATTCATCTTTATAAACAAAAAAAAGAAGATTTATCTAAACAAGCTGAACGATTAAATGTTGGAATTATTTGTATTGATGAAGCTAGTATACTTGTACAAGAAATGGATAAAAAAATTAGAAATACAACGTAAAGAACTTGGTTAGTATAAAATAGAGATGGAATTAGTATTGATTACTAATCTATCTTATTTATTTTCCTTCTTTTATGATTAAATCCGTCACCCAAGTAGAAGATTTCCTTTCATTTATTAATTTCTCAAAAATTCGGAACTTTATATATATCAGAATATGCCTATTATTCAGGTTTTTGTTTTGAAAAATCTTCAAACACTGAAATCAAAATATTGAAACCCCAAAAACTTCTTGTAAAATTCTTGAAGTTGCTTTTTTTAAAACCTCTTTGATTGAAAACTTTATACGCTTGGACGTAATAAAAGAACCGGAATCTTCTAAATTAGTCATATTCAATTGTTTGATAACAACAGTCTCTTTATTTTCTTAAAATATCATATGTATTTTTTCCATTTTAGCAATCAAAACAAAAAAATGTGATGATTTATTAACAGAAATTACTACTTTAACAACTAAACAAACAGAACGTAAAAGTCGAGCGAGTATTAAAGAATACCCGTCAAAGCAAACTTTTTCGACCATCCAAACTTGAACTATGAGCTTTTAATTCATTTCATACCTTCATTCGATTTTGTGGGTTTTTTTTAATGTTCCAGTGTTATATTCATTTATTGTATTTATCGGTACATTAATAGTCTTGTCCATCGCTGCCAAAAGTGAACAGACTAGTTTGAAAGATTTTAAAAATCAAAATTTTTAGAAAACAACATTATTGTCTTGAATATGAGGTTCAGAAAAATCTATATAATCTCCTTAAATCTCATGATAAAGTTAATAAACTATAATGTATTCGAGAGTCGACAGATTATTTCTTTATAAATGTTTCGATAAAGACTTTTTTTTTTGTTGTTGTTATTTTAGGCATTAGAAAAAAAGCAATTAGTTGATGAATAATTAATTACAATTGAAAAAGAAAAACATGATGCTGAATCACAATTATAAGAAGTTATGCCAGCATTAATTGAAGCTCAACAAGATCTTGATACACCTAAAGCAGCTGATATAACTGAAATGCGTAGTTTTGCTAATCCAGTTGATGCACTACGATTAATTGGTTATTGTATGCTTATTTACTTAGGTCAACCATCAATTAGTTGGAAAGATGTAAACATTTTTTTTTTATCATGACCAATTTTCTTTATATTTAAATAGGTTAGAGCTGTTATGGCTGATATGAAATTTATAAGAAATTTATAAACTCGTGATCCTAATTTATTCACATCAAAACAAGCTTTACAATTAAAAATTTATTTAAAAAAATTAGAAGAAAANCATACCCCTATCCCCCTACGGGGATGTCCAGAACTATTTTGCCCATCCCCGTGGGGGAGTACGGGTGTGGGTCAAAAACTACCTGAGCGACCTCATTAGAGTTATAAATCTGATATAGATATATGCGCCGAAGTCTCTTCTATGTCATAATGAAAACCGCTTCTCGATATCTTTTTGCATTCGCGAGTTATTCAAAGATTACGAAAATTGAAAAAACTGTACTATATTTAGTACAGTGGGCCGGAAAGGGTTATTGGGCCATCTCATATTCAAAAGTCCCTATTTCACAGCTATCTTCTTCGGAAACCCCATAAAAAGCCATTCTAAAATGAATGAGATGCGAGCTACTGATTGAAGAGGGTGGGTGTGAGTGTGGGTGTAGGTATTAATTCTGTATATTTACTCCCACATCCATACCCTTGTTCCATTCTTTTGTGATGCGTGACTTTTTGTATTTTTATACTCTGTTTTCGCTGTTTTATATTCTGATTTTTGTTCATCGATTTCAGATATTTTTGCATCGATCTTAATAAAAAGAAATAATTTTCTTTTCATATAAAATAAAATAAATTCGTTTACTTTAGCTTTAAAAGTACCAATGCTTTTTTCAAGTGTTTTTGGTACACAACGTTGATGATCATAAAGTAATGCAATCTGTCGGTTAGCACGATTATAAGCAAGATTTTTTCTTGCACAGATGCATTTGAATCAGTCAATGAATCAAGTTCATCTTGAAGTGTCTTGGAAACATTATACGTTCACAAGACTTTTGCTGTAAGACCTTCCATCAATTCACTTAAATATCGATTAAGACCTGCTGTCTAAATATAAAAACAACTTAGATGATGAGGACAAAGAAAGTTTATTGGTTTATCTTACTGAAAGACGATTAAATAATTCATTATCGTCGCTTTTATTTTCCATAAATAATTTTAAATTTTTAAATACACGTGGTTCAACACGGACTTTATTCGCATATCTATGAATCAATAAACAATACACGTTATTGTTTTATAGATAAGACTGTATAGAGAAATAATAATAGCTCAACAGAATATTGAGTACTACCATAGGAGCTAGAGTGTACTAACGAGGGAATCTCCTTGATTTTTCGCTTATAGGATACCACATAGTGTTCTAGTAAAAAGAATTTTGCTGATTGATAGATCTTAACCATTCCAGACACCAAAAAAATCTCTCTTCAACATATGGAGATTTCAAAAAAATTCATGTTTTATAAAGTATCAACTGACAGGGCTCGAATCTTTTATAGACCGTAACAGACGGGCTCCAAAGGCATCACAGATCATGATAAATCTTTTATACAGGATTAGCAATTATGTGCCACTGGAATCTGATGAGAGTACATTAGCTGCTTCTTCATTGCAACTCTACTACTTAAGTAAGAAATGGTGAGTGAATGGGTACCAAGGCTGATCGAAGAAAGCAAGATTTGTATGACTGATGAGAGCAGCTACATCGTATTTCACATTTTAATCCCGCAAGGATTGCGCTAACACCTTTTTTCTTGAGTGATAATTTTATCAGCGTTTTTTTTCTTTTTCCTTTTTGTTTTTGTATATGTTACTGTTGATATAATTAGATGAGAAAACTGATTGGCCATTAAACGAAGAATTTCATTTTTTGAAATTAATGTTTTACTGTTTTGTTTATTGTGTGTTAGCGTCAATAGAGGTCACTCTATTACCGCTAACTATCTTTTTTGTTTTCTATTGGTTTTTCCTCCTTATTTTCTCCATGGTTAATATATGTTTTCTCTGGACATTCTAGTGACTATCCTTTTTTTGTGATTTTCTTTTTCAAGTTGTTGCTGAATTTCCTACCCAGTGGTCGTGTTTTTTTTCTCCCTTGTGGTATTATTCATCTGTGTTCTCGCTTTATACGATCATTCATTATTACATTATTACTATATACTTATGGGATGTGGGTGGGTGTGGGTGTGGGTGTGGGTGTGGATGTGGATGTGGGTGTGGGTGTTGACGAAGTGAACAACCGCACCCACATCCACATCCACACCCACACCCACACCCTTTCTGAATTACATCGTGTCGAAATAAGTATTGAAAAATTAACAAATATATTAAACGATTTTCGAAAAACATTTCATGCAGCTATGGGAGATAAATTAAAATTTTAAGATGAAACTGATTTAGCTATACGTCCTCGTATATCAGCTGAAAATCTTTTAATTGGTGTTAAAAGTGAAATAATAAGGTGAAAAAATGAACTTTATGAAATAAAACAATATGAAAATGAATTAATTGGACATTTTTTCTTAGCAAGTGCATTTCTTGCTTATTGTAGTCCATTTTCATATGAAATTTGTCAAGAATTATTATATAAACAATGGAATTTTTTTCAACCAATATTGAAACATGTGAATGGATATCACAAGGTTTACCAGCTGATGAATTTTCAATAGAAAATGGTATTCAAACTTTACAAACAAATCGTTTTCGTTTTTGTATTGATCCACAATTACAAGCTTTATTATGGATTAAACAACGAGAAAAAAAAAGAAATTGAAATATTTTATCTATGCGTGATAGAGAGTTTTTGAAACATTTCGAATTAGCTATTAAATATGGGTAAATTTAATTATTTGTGAAATATTCTTTGTTAGGAATTCATTAAACAGATAGATTTTAATACTTCATTATTTATTCATTTTTAAAGTTTAGAAAAAAAATCAGACATGGTAATTTTCGTGTCTCAGAAGACTATTTTTGTACAATGGCATTCTGAACAGCATTGTTAAAAAAATGAGGAGTTGACCCATGTTCTTCGACGTGCCTTTTCAAAAGCGAATTGCTAAATAAATGGTCTTCTGAGACCTGAAAAGTACCATGCCCGATTCTCAAGATTATTTGAATTTGATCTAATTGGTTTAGCATTATAGAAAAAAAATCAAAAATTAGTTGTTGTTAAACATTTTCCCACCAACTCACAATTAAATCGCCTGAAGTTTTCAGAATATGTTGTCGCTGTAGTGAAATGGACAGGCTAAAATTTTCAACTCAATATCATGATTTTCTCGAGAAATATTTCTAAAATTAAGCTAAAAAGTTGTTCATTTAGCAACTCAAAATTCTTTTGGATCGTCATCAGAAGCAATTAGCTATCTCTTTTTGTCTGGTAGAAGACACTTAGATACAAAGACCGACAGAGTCCTTATATTAAAATTTTTCTTATGCAGCAAAAACAGCTGACAAATTTAACACTTCCAAAAGAGTGTCTTCTCAAAAGTGCTTTCGTATACAACAAAATAAAACTGAATTCAAAAATCTGTCTCTGCAGCTAAGAATATTCTGTCAAACAAGCAATTATATAATTCTCTAGAATGAAGTTTCTTTTTTACGACAGAGATATGGCAAAGATGGATGGCTGATTCTTAATTGCACATTCAATAGCCCGATATCTTCCCTAGGAGTAATACTAGCTGTAGAGCTCTAGACATAAGACCTGCCTGATACGCAGTTTTTTGTATTCAATCAGTTGAGCTCTTCATCCAAACTAACTAATCACAAGAGTAGGTGTATGCCGAAATTGCTAGTGATTTGTTCAGGATCATTGCATGGCTGGTGACACTGAGATGTGAACACAGCATCTTGAGGATATGTTTCAATTAACGTAATTATTCAGTCAGGGCGACTATGTCAATTAACTAATCATATTGATTGTGACAAGTTATGCGTTAGATTGTTGCATCATTAAAAATGAATTTAAAATTGGAATAAATAATGTTGCAATGAGATTAAGGATTAAAATTAGTTTGAATCTAATTCAATTGAATTTAATGTAGGAGAAATAAATATTCATATTCATTTAGACATCCAGTTCTTTATAAAGATGTTGATGAATATATTGATCCAATAATCCTAGATATTTTTTCGAAAAATAGTCAAGGTGATTTAACTCATCAATATGTTAAATTAGGCGATAAATATATTGATATTGATAAAAATTTTCGCATGTATTTAACATGTTGTTTATCAAATCCAATATTATCTACTTTACATTTTTCTTGTTCAAAAGTAATTAATTATACAGTAACATTAAAAGGTCTTGAAGACCAATTATTATTTTCACTTGTTTATGTATGTTTTTTGGTGACCAGAGTTATCAGTTTTTCAGTATTATAATAGAGGTGGTGAGTTAGTTTGTTTTCTTTAAAATATTTGTCAAAAATAAGTTGTTCATCATAGGTTGGAAAGGACTTCCGAGATATGCTATATCATTGAATTTATGCGAAAGTACATATACATGGAGAAACTATTTTTTCACTTGCCGATTGTTTGTCACTGCTTGGCTAGAAATTAGAAACCGTGAGCACCTCGCATGAAATTTTTATAGTTGTATTATTATTTTCAATTGGGTTAGTATGTCTTTAGTAACAGTTGGGATATCAAGTGAATTCGTCTTAATTTCGACACCGTTTTATCAACGCCATATTCAATAGCATATCGTGAAGACAAGAACAGAATAGGTGCAGCTTTGCGTTAGACTAATTTATTGATATTCACATGCTTTACCTTTAGAAGCCATAATTTCTGTAATAAAATTAGAAAATGTTTTCAAGCATAAATTATATTTCTGTAAAATGTTACATTAATAGAGCTTAGGAGAAACAAAAAAGTTCACATCTTTGTTTCTATTAGATCAAACTTCACACAAGACAAACGATTTATTTTCTCGTCGGATTAATTTTATCAGTTTTTAACGAACAGTGATGATGAAAGTTTCATCATGAAACTTTACTCGTTATTTTGCATCCCTCGTGGGTGCTTGGTTTGGTAATATATATGGTTCTCTTCCTTTACTATTTACGAATAATTTATTCATTCAATCATTTGAATAGTAATCGGATTACTTTCTCTTCCGTTCATATTTTAAAACAATAAAAAATGCACAGTCAGATGAGTTAGCTTTTTCCTCTTTCTTTTTTTTCTGGCAGTGATTGTATATATGGGATAGAAAAAGACAACTATTGGTCACCCTAGTTCTTTATACCTGTACAAGTACTAGAAAAACTCCAACTGACATGGTTATGTTTATTATTATTTTAAAATTCGCAGTGAAGAAGCTATAAACAAGTGAAAATTACTTATTGCTATGCCGATACGAGTTTCTATTTTGGACATTGTACTCAAAGGAGCTAGCTTTGTACGGATTAAAACGCTTAAAAGTATAGAGAAAGAAAAAGAAGCCTTTCAAATAGAAGAGATATATCAACAAAATCTGTGTTCGAACAGCGTTTTTTCAACTGAGAAAAAAATCAAAAAACCAAGAGTAATTCGAGTTCTATCAAATGCTTTTTCATAGGTAAATCATATTTCTTTGTACTCTTGTATATAATTTCAGATTTTTACTCACTTTATTCGATGGATGATCAATTGATCAAGAATTCGAAGAAAAATGCTTTGAAGAGATCAGATATCTTAAGATGTCATGGAAACGTGTACAAGCAGCTCGGCTCCTCAACTGAAAAGCTACAAAACTGAGCTCAGCCACATGTGAATGTTTAACCCGAAAATCCAGGAACTTAGCCCCAGAGAGTAAAGAAGCAAATGAACTTAAATTATTCTATTCGTGCTGTTCTGTATTTATGATCAAAAGATAAACTCAAAAGCGATGGAAGACTTCTAGAGAGTCTCTTGCCAGTATGGTAATAAATTATAAGAAAGTTCGATAAGAAATCAACCAACAGAACACCTTATTCACTATCGACAGTAGATTGTCTGTCGATTGAAACAAATACAGCAATGTCAATATAAATCTTGTATCCACTTCAAAGGATGTCAGATCACAAGCTCTACTAAAACTCGTATTCTTATCTACCTAATTGTCGTCGTTGGTTGTATTGAATAATAAAATAGATTTTTCGTATTCTCTAAAGGCATGCTCACACACTTTTTTTTTGAGAACTTTGAGCCTCTTTAGATTGCTCATGTCGCAAAAAGAAATAAAACATCACGTTATATTCTTGTATGAATCGGACAGTAAACAGTTGGTCACGCGAGTGTACAATGGACTAATCACACTAGGTATTCATGTTTCGATGGATGACTACACCAGCATCAATGAGTATACTTTAGAAAGGTGAGTGAAATATTTTTTGAACTTAAATAGAACAGACTGATCTCTTTTTCATGGAATATGATTTCACTGATGATATAGGATGACATCAAATATTGCCAATGCATCAACTGTCTGCTGCTTTCTGACTCCACAGTATGAGAACTCAGATGCTTGTCGAAAACAATTAGAATTAGTTAACCAAAAAAATTTAGAAATTATCCCTTGTCTAGTAACTCCAACCTGGTCTCCGAGTAGTGCCTGGCTCAAATCTTTCATCAATGGTACCAACTATGCCGATTTTCGTAGCACTGATAATATTCGAACGGATCATGCTACTAACAAATTAGCTCAAAGGATTGTGGACACTTTTTCGGCTTCCAACATGACGAAACCTACAATTCCCACCAACTTTATTATTCCTCCTATTCCGCAAGGTATAATTTGTTGTCGAACATTTCTTTGAGGACTTTTTTGTTTTTATGAAGCATGAACACTAATGAGAGTTGAGGCAAATAGAGGGAAAAGTAAACCCTCAGTTTATGTGATGGACACGTTTTACAATGGCGAAGCGTGTCAACTCATAATGATAAATTTACAGGGCTTTCGTAACAAAATTTTCTATTGCATTCATAACCAGATTAAAAGACTAATACTCTATAAAAACAGAATATTCATAGGAACGCCATTGATAGATCGATTATATAAACGCATAACAACAACAGCATCATCAGTTATGAATGTGGAAGGCAATTCAAAATCTGCTAAATCTGATAGCAGTGGATGTGGTGGCTCATTAATGGCTTGAAAGAAACGTTGATGTGAATAAATAAACAGACTACATCACATTAGAGCATGTAATTAGAATAAATAGTCTTTGTGTTATTGTACTTTTTGTATGACTATTTCTTGTTGTAGCTGTTGACTTAAAGCCAAGAAAATCAATTATTTACTCTTCTTTCTATGTTATTAGGATTTCTGACTCGTTCAATCTTCTTTCTCGCTATGTTTTCTTGACTGTTGTTATTTCTTGTTATCATTGGGGAAAAAATTCAGAAAAAGATTAATCTTTGCCTGTATCTGTCTTCTGGTTCGCTCTTTGTGCTCTTGAATTCTTTTTCGCCATAATTTCTTAAACAATACTAATCTCAATACGAAAGTCCTGTCAGCAGCATTTGACTAGAGATTACACTAACTGTTCTAACGTTATGATAGCCCTGCAAGAATGATACGAAACTCCTGTTTTTTTTATATGAAAGCACTGTAAAAAGTTATCAGCAAATAGGGGTTTCGGAACGTCTCGTTAGGAGTTGACATCTTCCCTACAATTGTAGTAACTCTATCGTGGTGAAAACTTTTCTGTATTTGTTCATAGCAAGAAAGCCAAAGATTGTGGTTGACTTACCTTCAAACAAAATGGTACAAGAAGGTGATCGATTAGAACTACGTCTTGTCACTGATGGCTTGGGTACCTATTATTGTAAATGGCTTTTCAATGAACAAGATATTATACTGAGCAACTCGGCAGCCATTTTGAGCATTGAGGAGCATGACAAGATCTGCTGTTTATGTTTAGAACATTTTCAACCCCAACATGTCGGCGAATATCAAGTCGTACTTACCAACGCTACTGGCATCGTACTAAAATCAAACAGCGTCATGTGTACAATTGGAAAAACGCCTGAAATTCTTGCCGATGAGGGTGAATCACAAGTCATAGGTGTTGATGGAGAACACTTTGTCAATCGCTCCCAAGCCCATGTGATTCCTGAGGGGATAATCACACGGTACGTTTCTTATCATTTTGTAATTAGTTTATCATAGGAAGTCTAACAAAAAGGGGGTTAAACCCTCAAGTATACATAAAATTTGACTTTTCGCTTAGGACTTGGTCACAGAACAACACAGCCTGTTCAATCGATCGAAGTCTAAATGTGGTGGACTTCGAAAGTGATACTCGTACACACACTTCTACTATCAGACAATGTGAAATAGGCATGCGATGGTAAATTCCTATTTCCAGAAAATTTAAATAAAATGATTATAAGAGAAATTTCACCGAAATTTAATTGAATATTTTTCAAGATAATCATAGAAAACTCATGCAATAAAAGAAGAATATAGAATGAAGTTAAAGTTTACGTCATGATTGGGTTGGGTCCGGTCAAGTGAGGAAATATATTTCGATATGGAATATCTATATATATAATGTTCAGTGTCTGTCTGTGTGTTTGTCTGTCTGTCTGTGCCGGGTTAAAGCTTGGTAGAAGGTTCGAGAATTTTCACTGAGCATAGAAGGTCAGTTCAAAAGAATTTTCTAGAAGATTCTCCAGTAGGCTTCCTATTTGAGAGCGCGACTATCAACGCAATCTTTATAGAAAATAACGTTGATTGTGGCGCTCCCAATTGCTGCACCCGCTTACCGAATGGTATAAATAGAGGATCGAAGCTATAGAAGATCATTTTCCAAATATCAACGATGACCGATACATCAAACGAATCAATCATGGATATCGAATGTGAAAAGTCAATACCAACAGCACTTGACCAAGAAAGTAACCCGCATTTAGATGATAGTACAAAACAATCTCCAGCAGCAGTGTCAGATGAAAATCCTAACGTAAGAACTCTCAAGAGATCTGAGAGAATTCGACAACAACGTGCACACGAAAGCGAAGAAGCTAGAAGGGAACGACTAGGGAAAGATAAAGCAAGGCATCAGTTGCGTCGTCTAGAAGAGTCACAGCAAGAAACACAAGAACATCGGCGACAGGATGCAAGACGAGCGAAAAGACGAAGAGAACAAGAAAGTGATGATGAGCGACATGAACGACAAGCAAAAGAAGCATCACGAGCAGAACAACGAAGAGAACAAGAAACAGATGACGAACGCCATGGTCGGCAATCGAAGAATGCATCACGAGAAAGAAAACGAAGAGAACAAGAAACGGATGATGAACGACATGGGCGACAAGTAAAAGATGCATCACGAGCAGAACAACGAAGAGCACAAGAAACAGATGACGAACGACATGAACGACAAGTAAAGGATATCATTCGCCATCGCCATCGTCGACAACGAAGCTCATCTTTCTATGCAGCTGCACTTCAAGATGAATTTCCATCAGAAAGTTATCATGGTAGAATGGACAAGGTGTGTCGTCACTGCAACGCCTTGCACTTCGAAGATGAGTGTGCTTCCGATAGACAGGATGAATTCAAACAGTGTTGTCACTATGGATCTATTCAACTTCCAGAGCTTCTCCCATATCCAGATGAAATCAAAGCTCTTCTCCAAGGAACTGATATAAACTCAAGAAACTTCCGCGAAAACATCCGAAGTTACAACAGTGCTCTAGCATTTGCATCGATGGGAGCTCAGATTGATTTACCAAAAGGTTATGGACCTTATTGTTTCCGTATTCATGGACAGATCTATCATCGAATCGGTCCACTTCATCCTGAATCTGATCAGAGAGCACAGTTCGGACAACTTTACATTTTGGACTCATCCTTGGCATTAAAAGAACGAATGGGAAATGTTGCCAACGAAAATTGCAACGAAACGACGATGAGAAAACTCGGCGATATAATGAAGAACATTAGTCCTTTTGCTGCTGCCTTCAAGATGATGCACGAAGTGGAAGAAGAAGAAATTGATCGAGCTAAGAAAGAAAAACGAGCACCACCTCCACTTCGAATGATTTTTGACATTGACTATCAAATTCATGATCGACGACTCTACAATCTCCCAACAGCAAATGAAGTCGCTGCAGTCTTTGTAGGTGAAGATAATGAAGTCCCAACGCATCGACATATTGCAATTCATCCACGTGGCAAAGATCTTCAAACTATTTCAATCTTACATCCTCACTGTGATCCAATGATTTATCCACTATTATTTCCACGTGGAGATGAAGGATGGCACCCGAACTTAGAAAAAGCTTATCGATCACGAAACCGGACAAGAGTATCAATGCTCCAATTTTATAGTTATCGATTGGCTATTCGTCAAACCTTCAGTGCTATTCATTATGCAGGAAAATTATTTCAACAATATATTGTCGATGCCTATGTTAAAACTGAACAAAATCGCCTTGCATTTCATCGACAAAATCAAAAGACCCTTCGAGTAGAATTATACCAAGGTCTAATGGATCATTTAGCAAATGAAGCAGTAATAGAAGGGCTGAAACCCGGACGAGTCATTATACTTCCATCAAGTTTTCAAGGAGGTCCGAGAGCAATGCAACAGAATTATCAAGATGCAATGGCAATCGTCCGAAAATATGGCAAACCCGACTTATTCATCACATTTACATGTAATCCAACATGGAGAGAAATTGAAGAACATCTATTGCCTGGTCAAGCTCCTTCGGATAGACCTGATCTAATTACCAGAGTATTTAAACTCAAACTTGATGAACTTATCGATGATCTCTTCAAGAAGCATATACTGGGAAGAACGATAGCTCATGTCTTCGTAATTGAATTTCAAAAGCGTGGCTTACCACATTGTCATATGCTTATTATTCTGGACAGTGAAGACAAAATAAAAGATGACAATCATATTGATCGCATCGTATGCAGTGAAATACCAGATACAGCCCGATTCCCACAATTATATGAATGTGTAAGAAGACATATGATTCATGGACCATGTGGAACATTAAATCCACATTCTCCTTGTATGGAAGATGGAAAATGTTCAAAAGAATTTCCAAATGTTACTATGGTAAATAAGGATGGTTATTCACGATATCGTCGAAGAGATAATGGAATTACAATAACCATTGGCAAGTATGAAATTGATAATCGATGGATAGTTCCTTATAATCCATACTTATTAATGAAATACAATGCTCATATTAATGTGGAAATTTGTGCAACTGTCAAAAGCATTAAGTATTTATTTAAATACATTTACAAGGGACATGATTGTGCTAACATTAAACTGCAACGACCAATTCAAGAAGGTGCTGCTGCCGCTCAAGAAACTTTAGAATGGGATGAAATTAAAGCACATCTTGATGCAAGATATGTCAGTGCACCTGAAGCTGCATGGAGACTTTTTGAATTTCCATTACATGACAAGTCTCATGCAATTATCCGATTAGCGGTTCATCTTCCAAATCAACAGCCGATTTATTTTGCTGAAGGAAAGGAACGACAAGCCTTGGAAAGAGCTGCCTCAAAAGACACAACACTTACTGCATGGTTCAAATTAAATTCAAAAGATCCAGATGCTCGACAATACCTCTATCATGATATTCCACATCACTTTGTTTTTGAACGCAATGGAATATGGAAACGTCGATTACAAGGTGAAAATGTCATCGGTAGAATGTATTCAGTCAGTCCAAGTGACGTAGAACGTTATCATCTTCGATTATTACTGTTGCATGTACCTGGTGCCTGCAGTTTTGATGATCTTAAAACAGTAGATGGTCAAGTCTGTCAAACATTTATGGAAGCTGCTCGACGACGAGGTCTATTACTTGATGATACTGAATATGAAAGATGTATGGCTGAAGCAGTACTCTTTCAAATGCCACAACAGCTAAGAACATTATTCTGCGTCATACTCCTATATTGTAACCCAACAAAACCAATAGATCTGTGGAATTCATTTAAAGGACATATGGCTGAAGACTTCATGCAACATGCTGATGCTGAAACAGCAGAAGCAATGACATTCTATGCAATCGAAGAAAAGCTAGAAGAACAAGGCCGAAGATGTAGCGATTTTGGTATACCATCACCAACAACCGCTCCTTATACATTTGAATCAAAAATTATTAACAAAGAAGAAGAACTTCGAATAGGGCAAGAAATGTATTCAATATTGAATCAAGATCAACGCTCAGCAGCTGATGAAGTTCTTGCAGCTCATCATAACCAATCAACTAATGGTTCATGTTTCTTCATAGATGGACCTGGAGGTACAGGAAAAACTTATCTTTATAACACCCTGTACCATTTATTGATGGGACAAGGCATCTATGTTATATCAGTTGCATGGACGGGAATTGCTGCAAGTCTACTGCCTGAAGGAAGAACAGTACACAGTCGTTTCAAGCTTCCAGTACCTATCCTAGAAACATCTACATCCAGTATCCGACCACACAGCAAGGAAGCAGAAGAAATTAAAAAAGCAGCAGTATTTATTTGGGATGAAGCACCTATGGCTCCATCATATGCTCTAAAGGCAGTGGATATCTTATTAAGAGATATAATGAACATTAATCTACCTTTTGCTGGAAAAATTATGGTACTCGGTGGTGATTTTCGTCAAGTGCTACCAGTTATTCGATTCGCAAATCGATCCGAGTTGATTGCAGCAAGTCTCAAAAGCTCTGATCTCTGGTCTAACTTCAAGGTCATGCATCTTAATCAGAATATGAGAACAGGACCAGGCGAAGAAGAATTCTCAAAATGGTTAATTAAACTTGGCAATGGTGAATTACCATCAAACGAATATGATGAAATCGAATTGCCTAGCTCTTGCATGCTTGATGGTAATTTGGTCGACGAGATATTTGGCCAGCACATTTCCATCAATGACATTCCAACTCTATGCAACAGAACAATACTCTGTCCCAAAAATGAACATTCTCTCCTGGTGAATGAAGAAGTTCTTCAACGTCTACCTGGCAAAGAAATAATGTACACAAGTGTGGATGACGTAGAATGTGAAGATGGTGATGATGTGACCAACTATCCCACAGAATTTTTGAATAGNGAACAACATTTTTGTTGTATCTTCACTTCCATTCATATTAGTTGTTACTGATGGTTGTGCTGAAACTAGTTTCCATGGAGTAATACGAGACGTAAGCGATGGTAGTGGAGGAAATTCATTTTGCTTCATCTAAAATTGCATCGGCTGAGCACCATCTTCAGGTACTAATCGATGTAATTTGCCTGTTGATATTGCATTATTAACTTGTTCTTTTAATTTGAATCGATATTCTGCGACCACACTGTAAAAAAAATCCGTAGAATAATAAACCCAAAAAGGGTTGATGAAATCAATGAACCCTTGCATAAACCCTCAAAAAGGGTTTATGACGATCACTAAGTACGGATGGAATTCAGCAAAGGGTTTCTGAAATGCTCATAAACCCATGTTGGGGTATAGCCAAGGATTTAGAACACACTCATAAACCCATACAAGGGTTTAGGAAACTCACATTAACCAATGCAAGGGTCTAGAACAAGTTCATAAACCCTTGCAAGGGGTTTCGAGGCAGTGAACCAAAATGGCTCACAATCGAGACAGGTTATGAGGCATCCTGCTTCAGCGTGTGCCAGTTTCTGCTTCCAGACGAGCAAATGACTTGGAGTTGTGTCTGTGTTAAGACTTGGAAACTGTACATGTTCTCTAAAACGAGGAGTCTATTCAAAGTGACTTCGACGAACCAGAACGGAAAAGTTAAGATGGCCAAGTATAGCATGCACAACGCTACATCTGACAATTTCAACTTTTCCGTTCTGCTTCAGCGAATCCACTTTGAATAACCTCTTCGTTTTGTAGGACATGCACAGTTTCTAAGTCTTGATACAGATACAACTCCAAGTCATTTGCTCGTCTGCAAGCGGAAACGGATACACACTGAAGCAGTACGCCCCAAAATCTGTTGTCCCCGATCCTTTTCCATTTGATGCTGCGACGGACCTAAACCTAAAAAGAAAAAAATTTAAATCGATAAAGCTTACTGTTTATTTTCCACAACTATGCCACAGAGTTGGACCAAAATTCACATAAGAATAGACACCCAATTTTGAATTCATCGATTCTCTTGATGGTGGCGTTCACTAAAAATATTTTCAAAGAAAAAATCCATTTCTCGTTCAAAGTTAATTTCCGATACCGTGAAACAATTTAATAATAATGAAGCTAAAACGAATCCTTCAATAATTTTCCTCAAACTCACCAATATCTTTTCCGAACACAGCGTAATACAAGAAAAACAATTTTGAAAAAAATTTCCAAATGTCATAATACTACATCTCATTTCACCTAAATAAAAAAAGCTAACGTTCAAAAGCAACTTTTCCTTACCTAATAATATTAAATTTGATTTGATCTGAACGAAAGAAAAAATCATCATTTTAAAAATGCATTTCTTCTTCGCTAAATAATTGTGGATTGTCTCTCATCCAAACGAAAGAACTTCTTAAATCGATTTTTTCTT